CAAGTTCACGCATACCTCTCATGTTCTGTTTGATGATATTTTGGTAAACAGTTATACAGCCAGTGAGATAGATGTTTCTACGGAAAAGAGTCCAGAACAGCGAGCTCTCCTTGTGGAATCTAGAAGGTCAGTTAGCCGATCATGTTCTTCTACAGGTTTAATCTTTTGTGCTTGTCTGTTGGATTGTTAATATCATAATTATCAAATTCAGTTATGCTTTAATTGAATAGACACAATATTGATTAGACTAGACTGATTGCAAAATCTAGCAAGCAATACTGATTTCAATCATATCAGGAGATTAATTGATGTCTGAATTTGGATCCGAGATGACTGCTGGGTAGAGTAAATTTGATGGAGGATTTTCTTGTGCAGCATAGAGAAGTTAGATGGCAGTTGAAGTTTGGGGCTTATAGTGTTAAACTTTTAGCATGCAGTGTAAACAACTGGAAATTTTGTTAGTGGTAGTATCCTGTGAAGAAAATGTCCAGAAGAAATGTGTCATTTATGAGTGAAGAAAATGTCCAGAAGAAATGTGTCATTTATGAGTGACTCAACTTGCTGTTTGCTCATTACCTAAGTCATTTGGTTAAAGCAAACTAAAACTAGTGATCTAAATTTTTGGCTTGTTCTCAACTGTCAATCAGAGTCGAGCAACTCCTATACTTTCGTGAAGGCGAGGTAGAACTGTGTGTTAATTGTTTAGGCATTCATAAAATGACAACGAATAAATTTGTTACATGAATGAGAGGAACATCAGAGGATGGTGAATTATAAACCCCCCTTAATTTGGGCAGTTTTTAAAAGCAAAAGCTCCAGAAAAAAGACTAGGCGTTGGGGCTTCAAACGAGAGTGAGAACGCATGTTTTTTTGGAGTAAAGCACACAATTTACACAAAATGCTCCCTACTATTTCCATTTTTCGGTGTTGCAAAAGATTTGACATACTTTTCTTTCTATAAAATTCACAACTTTCAATTATTCAAATTCATCTAACTATTCAAGTTTTGAAATGCGATGTGTTATTTTCTCTTTCAAACTAGCTTTCAACCATTAACTTAATGTTCTCATCTATCACTATGCAATATAAGTCAAATTAATATATTTCGCGGTGTCTAGTCAAATATTGTCATATAAAAAGTGACAATAGTACAAGAATCAGCTAACATATATGAATTTAGTAGACATGGAAATGCAAACAACATTGCTAATTTCAATATACAACAATGACAATGTTACTTACAACAATTAAAAGGAAAGATCATCTCAATGTTATTTCAACAAACCTATAGAAAGATAACTTCAAATGCAAATTAACTTTCAGCTTTGAATTAATCACTAATAAAAGAAGTTAAATTCTAGCATTCAATTTCATATTCAGTTGCCTTCATAGTCATACACTCATACTAATATTTAGTTTCAATTGCACAAGTATTTTGTTAACGTGTATATATATATATATATATATATATATATATATATATATATATATATATATATATATATATATATATATATATTTCTGACAATTAGCCTAGAAACCAAGAATAGGAGAACAGAATGTGAAGAAAATACAAGAAAAAAGAAAGGAATAATGTTTGACAGCAGATAAGAAGCTTAAAGGCAGAATTTGTAGGAGAAGAGGCTTCACGCAAAAGAACAAATAGAAATAGTTATGTTTAAGAAGAAAAACAGAAAGAAAGAAAGAAGTTAATCATACAAGTAGGGACACAGAAAAAGAAGAAGAAGAGAAGTTATTATAATGAGAAGAATATTAGGAAGTACCTGGATATTGAGTCCTTGTATTCATATTGTATAAGGCCTGCATTTTCTTCTCATTTTTCTTTATCCTGTTCATATTTTAAAACAAATTCTTGCTCGAGTCTTTCCCTGTTCAAAGTGTGTGGTTCTTCAAAGTCACGTTGCTTCAACTATGAGAAAGTGGTAATCATCGATGGGATGATCATTTTTACTAACATTGAACCTGCAGGCGTGGATGTGGTTTTTAATGAAGCTACATATCAGAGCTCTTCTCAGTTGGTCTGATGGTCATATGTTGAAGTCATATTTTGTTGAGCTTAGATGTGTTAGATGAAACTATATTTTATGATGTTGTGATCTAAGATCAATGGTGTTGTCTCATCAGAAGTTGTATCTCCTTCTCTTTTCTGTATTCTGTAACTTTATATTGCACTGTGCTGCAGACAGGAGGTTTTGCTATTGGACAATGAGATTGCTTTTAATGAAGCAATTATCGAAGAAAGAGAGCAGGGAATACAAGAAATACAACAACAAATTGGTGAAGTGAATGAAATTTTCAAGGACCTTGCTGTGCTTGTTCACGAGCAAGGAGCTATGATTGGTAGATCACTCTCTTTTGTTTTAGTATTCAAATCTCCATTTTGAACATCATTTTGATATTTACAATTCTGTTTTCTGCAGATGATATTGGTTCCAACGTTGAGAATGCTCATGCTGCAACTGCACAGGGGAGATCGCAACTTGCTAAAGCTGCAAAGACCCAAAGATCAAATTCATCTCTGGTACTTCACCACATTTAACCATTCATCTTCCTGAACATAGAACCCTATGATTGGTATGCTTAAGCCTGCTGCGTTTTTGTGAGATGCCTTTTAGTAGCTCTGTTGAACTTGCATCTGATGAGAAATCTGAAGGAGTAGTATGACTTATAAGACTATTGGCCGAATGCAAAGCTTCTATAGGTTTATGATTCTGATACTGACCACCACCAAAAAAACCCAGTGAACTCTCACAAGTGGGATCTAGGGAGGGTGAGATGTACGCAGCCTTACCCCTACCCTGAAAGGCAGAAATACTGCTTCCTGAAGATCCTCGGCTAAAGAAAAGATAAATAGAAGTAATGGCAACAAGTACAAACAACAACAAGATAAAAAGAGGATCAAAGCCAAAGTAGCAAGTAAACGGCAGTAATAGCGATCTAAGAATAAAGGATAACAAACTAACTTTAATGCTATCGAATTGAGGAAGACAAAGAGAAACACTCGACTACCTACTAACATTCTACCTTACTCCTCGACCTCCACATCCTCCTATCAAGAGTCATGTCTTCGGTAAGCTCTAGCTGCGCCATATCCTGCCTAATCACCTCTCCTCAAGATTTCTTTGGTCTACCTCTACCCTTCCTCATACCCACCAAGGTTAACCTCTCACACCTCCTAACTGGGGCTTCTGTGCTGCTCCCCTTAACATGCCTCCTAACTGGGGCTTCTCTGCTTCTCCCCTTAACATGCCTAAACCATCTCAACCTCGCCTTCCACATCTTATCCTCCAAGGGGGCCACTCCCACCTTATCCCGAATAACTTCATTCCTAATCTTATCCAACCTAATATGCCCATACATCCATCTCAACATCCTCATTTCAGCTACTTTCATTTTCTGGACATGCGAGTTCTTGACCCGCCAACACTCTACCCCATATAACATGAACGGTCTAACCACTACTTTGTAGAACTTACCCTTAAGTCTCAGTGGCACATTCTGATACTGACCGGCTACCACTAATTGCGTTTTTATGCTATGCTTAACGTTATTACTTAAATAGAAAAAAACAAAAGTGAAAAAACAGTAAGACCATTTAGAAGATGGTGAGTAGCGCTTTGCACTTGGGCATTATCATCTTTTATAGCTTTTACATTTTAGAATATGTTTGGTATAGTTGTTAGAAGGTCGAATTTGATTAACATACCATCATGGCAAGTTGTCTCGTTGGTCATGTTATCTTAATGGAAGTCATGAACGGAAAACATGGGGGTAAGGTTGGGTGTCCATCTTTTTGGGGGATGCTTTGGATGGTTTTGATTTTAGGTCATATGACCCGTTCTATTTTTACATGATCCCTTTATCAAATTGGGGCGAGAAACCGTTCATATTGTTAATTTTCTTTCCCCTCGGAGTACAACTTCAAAATTTTGCACTTAATATTCCTTACACTGAAGGATATACACTATAGATGATTTCCTGACCTGTACTATTTTCTGCAGACTTGCTTGCTCCTAGTGATTTTTGGAATCGTGCTCCTCATTGTGATTATAGTACTTGCAGCCTAAGCTGAAAATTATATAGAAAAAGGCCCCTAAACTCTGTTCAGTCAGAGAAGTGATTGTTTTGATTCGAAAAAAGGTGACTGCTGTGATTCGCGTCGTTTCAAAGGCACCCTGGAGCTCAGTCATCCTGATCCTTGGTTCTTCTAGTCATAGGAGAGAAGTTGTGTAATTAGGGAGGTGGGAGACCAAAGGTTTCCATTCAATGTAAACCTGGTGCGATGGTTGCAAGATGTGTTGCTTCGATTGTAATGGTGGGTCTGTCAATAAAATTTTATTCTTGTTTGGGGGGGCAACCTCTTCTATTTGCACTTTGGGTACTCTTAAACCAGTTGACATTTGACATTCAATTCTTTGTTGATTCTTGTGTGTGAAGCCATCATTAATTTGATTTGTTGATTTCCTTGTCTTGCCTTGGTGGATAAATCCTGCATGGAAGGTTTCCTGCTTCTATTTTCTGTAGCGACCTGATTTGTTCGTAATTTTCAGATAAAACTTACTATTTTGCTCGAGCTTCTTTTCCGTAGAAAGTAGCATGTTCACTGTTGCTGGAAACGGGACATTGGGTTAGCCGATTTGTACGTAGAATTAAAATCTTAAGGTGGTACGAGGGTAAGATATTGGATTTATATACTTCATGTACTAAGGCCCTCAAATTCCTGAATTTCGAGAATATAGTTTTGCCATAATAGAAGTGTTGGTTTATTCCATGGAAATGAGAATATAACCGTGGACAACTCAAGTAGAAAAATATTTGAGATGGAGCTATGGTTTAGTCAAGAGAAGTAGATGAATCATCGTACACAAGTATTTGAGGTGACCAGGAATGATATAAAAGGTACACACAGACTGAGCATTTAAGTGCAAGTTGATTCAAAGAGTTGCTTATCTAGGTGAAGTAATACTGTGAGGAAAAAATGAATTTGCTTATACCATCGGCATGCATTATTTGAGACGCGTTCAAGAGTATACCTTGTATTTGATAAAGTAATACTAAGATTTATTAATGTTTGGGCAAAAACAATTGACTCTCATACAGTAAGTATGCCAAAAAGTAGAAAACCTACACAAAATAAGATTTTCGACATACTACACTCAATCTTCTATAGCTAGAGAGATCTCATGGGTGCACCAAAAGGAAATGAGGATAAGAGACGACTCCTCAACTGTACATAATTCTTCTCTACTTTCTCTCCATACAACCCACATAAGTGTTAGTGGAGCAACATCCAGAGCCCTGCTCCTTCTCCGTCTGCCAATGTTCAGTGTTGTAACTTGTAACTATAAAAGTTAACATAAATGTAGTTGATCTAAGAAATTAGTAATGACAAAAGCAACAAAACATTTTTAAACATAGATAACTGATGAAAGTTACCTAACATCAAGTGAGTTTCTCTTGCCAATGGTTATTCCAGAAAGGGGAAAGAATGGGTTGCCAAAGTTAATCATTACTCACGGCTGTTTCAATGCTGTTTCACCAGAATACCTAATTGAGGCAACAATGATGAGAAGAGCTGATACAACAGCTGAGATGAAAGTAAAAGCAGATACAATTTCCACGTGTTGTCTACTTCCCACAACGGATGACCATCATTTGATTCAGCACTTTGTTTGTCTAGCGAAAACAAACAGCTCATGTCATGGTGTTTTCCTATAGTGTTGCAAGTCAGGTGCAGCAAATTCGACTCTAAATTTGTATCTCCAAATACAGCAGCTTCCCTAAGAACTGCAACAAAATGTGGATCAAGAGCTGCAGTGTTAGAAACCTATAGAATCTTTACCACCACGCTGCACAAGGTGTTGTAGCTCAAAAGGATCTGCAAAGACTCCAGAAGGCAGTCTTTCAACAATTATCACCTCACAAGATTTTGGAGGCCTGGAAACGGACTCCGATGACATCTTCAATCTGAGAGATGATGACAGACGCCTGTGGGAGCCTTCACCAATCAGATTTCAATGTAAAGCTAATAGTTTTGGTGCAAATTTGATGTTGTCTTGCAGTGATACACATGCGCTGGACAGTACGTCATGTGCAATAAAATCTTCAAACTTCAAGTCCACCAAATTGTCATGTTTCCTAAAGTAGGATTTTGTAACATATTTGTCAAGATAAGGTGCATGCATGGACCTGAAGAAGATGGGAAAAGGAGTAAAAACTGGTGAATTATGGAAACAAATTAGTGGTTGTCTCGCCGACTAGATTAACAGTTTTCTGTAAAATTGTATATTACTAAACACCCTACACTGCACGTATGGAGAAGTAATTGCACATCTTGAGATTGTTTAGCAGCTTGGACACTTCACTTGAAACAGCAGTATCGAGACATGAGCTGATCCTAGCAATTAGTATCAGTGAAATGATCATTGCCAGAATATGAAGAAGTTCCATTGTAAATCTGAACAGGTTGAATGGAAATCAGGCAGAGGCACTAGATATATTAAGAAAGTCAATTTACTAATGAAAGAACTTGCTACAATTGTATAAGAAAGTCAGATGACTTCCTCCACATAACTACTTTCCCATTCTAACATAGATTGAGGCTTCTTAGATTCAAATCTAAAAATCCATAGATGTGAGGGAAGATTAGTTAGATAGCTCAAGTGAGTTACATAAGGAAGATGATTAGTGAAGATGTGGGTGCACATGAACATCAAATAAACTAGTTCATGAATTAAGAAAGGAGCAGTGGAGGAAGGTAGCAATGGAAATCTGACAGAGAAAATTTTCTTCTTCTCTCTCTCTCTTTTTTCTGAATGTCTGTGTTTGTATTTACTTCTTGAGAATGCCCTACAAGTTATTTAGTTAGAGTAATAATAAATAAATTAAAGAAAACCAATAAATAAATTGATCTGATGTTTGTAGCCTGTAGGTAGAGAGAGCGAGCTGCAAAAGGAGATGTTGCAGCAAATCAGATCCTATTCCAGGGGAGGAGCAAATTTACCAGTGAACCCTCTGCTTAACTTGAACCGATAACAATAATGCAGGGTCTGTTTTAACACACTTTTCTTTTTAATTTGTTGACATCTTCCTCTCTTTTTTGTATTGGTAGAATGACATTTTTAATGACTGACCTACCAAGAGAGAGAAGGTAAGAGTGAATCCTCCTATCACTTAATGACCGAAAGAAAATAATTGACGACTAAGCCTTTAAGAAACAAAAATGAAGCTCTTGACAAACATTAGATCTTACAAAAAAACCACGCTAACTATTATGTCACGACCCAAAATTCCACCTTAAGGATCGTGATGGCACCTAGTCCCTAAGATTAGGTAAGCATATCACACAACAACTCCAAACAGAATATCACAACTTCATATTTAAATAAAACTGGAAAAATGGATCAAAACATAGCAAATATGATAATACAACAATCACAATCTCAAAATCCGGTAATACAGAGTTATAAGCTCTACAGGAGGTACATAATGAGTCTCAAAATACAGAACTGTTTGAAGTACAATAAAACAGTAGAAAGGAAACAGTAGAAGGTGACTCCGAGGCTTGCGAGCGGAACAACAGGTATAACCTTGAAGTCTCCATAGCAACTCAGAATCAGCTCAATAACGACCAACACGATCTGAGGTACCTGAGTCTGCATAAAAATGTACAGAAGCGTAGTATGAGTACACCACAGTTGGTACCTAGTAAGTATCAAGACTAACCTCGGTGGAGTACTGACGAGGTTCAAGTCAGGACACACACTAGTCAAATCACCTCTACAATATATCAAATACTGGCAATAGGAAGAATAATAGAAGGCAATAACTAAAATCTCATCGGAACAAGTGATAATAACTTAATATAAGCAAAGACTCAGTTTCACCAACGAGTCATCAAATAGATGGCACACATACGGCACCTCGTGCCCACATTGCCAATTACCCTCGCACGAGAAAGTCCTTGTGCTACAATATAACTCACACTTGCACGGCAAAGTGACGAGCGCAAAAACAATACGAAATTATCGCTCGCTAGTGAAAGATAGAATAGTTTAATTATCGTCTCCACAAGGATTGGATTTAAACATTATTCGAATAACCTTTAGTTAATTACTATCCAAAAAAATTAGCACTTGATTTGAATGATTATCAACTACAATTAACTACTAAAATTTAAGCAATTATCAATTAATCACGAAAGACAAGAGTTGACAACACAAAAATATCAGTAAGAGAAATAAGAGTAACTGACTAGATAGTTGCAAGATACTTGACTCGGGATCCAATTCTTGAAGTATTTTACTCTATAATACTGTTAATTCTCGCGAATTCACTAGATAATTAGATTATACTTGATGTTAAGGTTCCACTTTCGATTAAACGTTAACTATAAAAAATAATCCAACTGAAGCACCGGAACACTTACTATGAACATAATGATGGTTTTAGTCTAAAGGGTAACTTCTCATGAATATTTTCCTATTTTCTACTTCGATTAATAATTCAAAAGGCTTTTCCGATTACCTAGTTGAATCATGAATTTAAACTAGAGTATAAGATTCAAAAAAATTCAATATAAAGCTCCTTTTTTGATTAAGCAGAATAAACAACTTCACAATACAATTCAAAACTCCATCAATTAATTCAAGCAATTGTCAAGAATTTAATTCCTAATCAATTTATCATTACACCATGTATGTCAACACCCTAAAGAAAAACTACACCATAATAATGAAAAAAGTCATCTCAAGAAGATTTAAAGACATAGAAAACATCAACGCTAATGATTCGATACAAACTCCGTATTGCACCGATTGTTGGATGAAATCTCGATGAAATCTTCTGTCTTCTTGTCTAAGTTGCTTTTCAAATATTTCATAGGTCAAAAGTCCCTTCGAAAATGCATTTTGGTGTATTTATGCCTTGTAGAAGTGAATCTGAATGGAACTACCCTTTCCAAACCGAAGTGGGAAATTACTCTAAGGAAATAACACAGGCGCACCGTGCCAATGGTAAAGTTCAGAAAGCACATCATTTTTCAGGCATGCTCCATTTCACTGCCGCGCAGCGCTTCGCGGCGCCTCATGTGGCGCGATAGTGCTTTTTTCTCAGAGTGATATTTTTTTCTCGGTTTTTGTTATCCAAACTTGGTCATCGACCCCCAAACGCGATCCGAGTTTAATTCTTTGGGCTTTTACTCAGACTTCAAAGCTCCAAATTATTCGAGTTAGCTTCAATTTGTCTTCTCAACACGTAATAAGTTTAAGCTCAAACACAAGTAAAGTGCAGTAATTAGAATGTAAAATACGGCTAAAATACGGGTTTCTAGCCTACATCACAAAGACATCATGCCACAATGTAAGTCACACTTGCACGGCAAAAGACCTCGTGCTACATAGTAATCTGATTTCGTATCAATTTTCAAATAACATGTTCAAGAGAACTTTTCAAGAATCAAATAAAGTACAGACAACTCCACGTTATTGGATCCATCTTAACAACCGAAACATCAAGTAATAACAGATGCATAGATTGGCATGTTACAAATCACACAACAAATCATGTGTGCATGACACACACAAAGAAGTCATAAGCAAAAACAAGAATGCCCTTTTTTCACCACCGCACAAACATCATCAATGAAAGTCCTCAGGCTATCACATATCATTCCCACATAGCCACCCTTATCTCACCCCGTGCGCAATAGTAAAGTAAATGTCAGCCTTGTCTCGCCACTCCCGTTTTAATAATCATCCTACCTTGTCTCGCCACATGCACAAACCCGATATGACCCACCTTGTCTTATGTGCAATATCAACAATAATAATAGCACGACAAAAACCTCGTGCAAACAACCGTACAATCCGCCCAATAAGTCCACATGTGCCATAATCATAACGACACAACATGCCAACAATTGTCATTAAGACCTAAACTCACAAATTTTTAACGCTGTGCACAAGGATGAACCAATAAAAGAAATGCGGATGGGTGTCCAACATATGAGCATGAATTCAACTAACTCACTTTAGCAACAATCTCACAAGCGCCCAACTTGGCCAATTAAGAAATGGCAATCCTAAAACATGATCTCTAGCATAGAACATAAACTCAAGTAAACAACTTAAGTGAAAACACATAGTGCAGAGATCTCTTAAGCAAAACAAGGCAATAAGATCAACCTCGGGTCAAATCCGGTCATAAATCACTCATACAACCGTGTACACACCTTCACCTCATGTACACATCGTTTACACATAACACAAATAAGTAATTAAGCTAAATCCTAAGGGGTAATTTCCCCACATAAATTAGGCGAGATACTTACCTTGAATTGTCCTATATCAACACTCAAAAATAGCTTTTCCTTTAAAATTTACTTTCGCTCGGCTCAAATCTAACCAAAAATGACTTAGAAATATCAAACAACGCAAGAGAAACCAATTTCGATCAATAAAGTTAAGATTTTTACACAATTTTCCAAAAATCAATAAAAGTCAACCTCGGACTCGCTTGGTCAAAACCCGAGTCGAAGGGTAGATCTTGACTACCTATCATCCCACGAGTCCAAATATGTGCTGCTTTTCAAATCCGAGTCACATTCGACTCTCTAATCTTAAACTTTTATTTTTTAAAATATAGCCAAAAATTCCTTTCAAATTCCATGATTTCGATGTTAAAATCCATAAGTAATAAAGTTAAAATATTAAAATTGAGTTAAAATCACTTACGCAATAGCTAGATGTAAAAATCCTCTCCAAAAATCGCCTCCTAACAAGTCTAGGACTCAAAGTGTGACAAAATGAGACTAAGTCCCGAAATAATCAACTACAAATGAGCTGCAGATGTTGCATTTGCGACATAGGGTTAGCAAATGCGACCCTTTGCAAATGCGAAAAAAGCATCACAAAAGTGACCACTGAGCAGCTCTTAAAATGTCACAAAAATGACATAATATTCACAAATGCAAACACTGACCCTTCGCAAAAGCGACCGTTTGATCGCAAATGCGGTCAACCCCTTGCCTAGATACTCATTGCAAATGCGACCTAAAGTTTGCAAAAACGAATATCTCAGCACCATCCCACCTCGCAAATGCGGTTTCCCCATTGAAAATGTGAGGTCCACAAATGCGAACATGATCTCGCATTTGTGAGACCTGACCAGCAAACCTTAAGCTCACTCAAAGCACTCTGAAACGCGTTCGAAACTCACCCGAGTCCCAGGGCTCCACATCAAACATCAACACAAGTCTACAATACCATATGAACTTGCTCGAGAGCTTAAAATACTAAAAGAACATCCGGAACCACGAATCGGACACCAAAAAAATAAAACTCAAGAACTATTAGAATCACAAACCAAGCGTCCGATTCCTACCAAACCAACTCGGGATGACATCAAACTTTGCAGATAAGTTCCAAATAATAAAACGGACCTATTCCAAATCCCAAAAGTAAAATCTGAACCCGATAGTCATAAAGTCAAACCATGGTCAAACTTAGGAAATTTCTAAGCCTTCAAATTGCCAACTTTCGGCAAAAAAAGCTAATTCAACCTAGGGACCTCCGAATTCAATTCCGAGCGTACGCCTAAGTCCAAAATCGCCATACGAACCTATTGGAACCATCAAAATACCATTCGGAGGTCTTTTTCACAAAAGTCAAACCTCGGTCTATATTTCCAATTTAAGCTTCCAACATAAGAACCAAATATTCTGAATCAATCCAAAACCTTCCTGAAACAAAACCATCCATCCCTGCAAGTCAAATAGCCATAAATACACACACGGAAAGATTTCAAAGGAAAAGCGAGACTCAAATACATAAAATGACCTGTCAGGTCGTTACATGTTAATTCTAACTAGTTAGTATGATTTGCCTATATGAATCCTTTATTTCAGTTGCGTTTAATTTTGTTCTTTTAAATTTACATTAATTAAAAATCAAATATGTAATAATGGACTCATTTTGCTCAAATATCTATGGCTAGTATCTTATGGCTTTAGTTAAGTGTGTAAAATGAAAAATTGGTTTAAGAACTTGTTCAATAAACTGATCATATTGAAAAATGCTTTTTTCAGAAGTATTTTTTGATAAAATACTTTTGGAGAGTAGAAATTGGCGTTTGGTCAAATCATTTGAGAAG